GCAGGGTTTTGTGGTTTTTTATTACTGTGAGACAAATAAAGAAGCTTTGATGTCTATTAAACGTCTCAAGCTCGCGAGGCTTAAAAGCCGAAAATTAGTGCAGAAGTTCTGCACTAATTCCGCACAAGTTCTGCACCCAGGAGCGGACGCGTGCTAACTGGGACGGTAGCCTCCTCGACTACCTGCTGTAGCTGCTTAATCCGTGTCTATGTGCGACGCTAATTAGGGTTCCCCACGTATGCGCGGCAGCCCAGTCCAGTCAGCAACGACGGTCCCTCGTACTCGTATCTCTACTAGTTTTCACTCATCTCGAATACTTGTTGTAACTGATAGGCTCGCGTTTATGTGCAACGTTGATAATGAGACTGCACCTATGCAGAGTAGCATAATCCGATGGTCGATGACGGTCTTGTATACCGTTAACTATACGCGATCCCGCTTGTCTTCGCTAGCTACAGTAAACATCAGTACAATTTATATGCCGACCGGTAAAAATAAGGCCTCAGCTATGCATGATAGCCACATCTGACAGCCTGTTATACACACAACTGTACTCGAGGTCATCTAACTTGGCTATTGATCGTACCTGTTGAGTCAGTGTCCTTGTACATACATACCTAATCTAATGGCGACCGATTAACCAAATACTCAAAACTGTACGCGATATCGTCTACCTTGACTACTTATTGAAACTGGTAGGCCAGTGCCTATATGCGACGCTGTTTAGTAGGCCTGGGCTATGCGTGACGTCTTAACGACCAACGGCTGCCCGTCATACTCGTAACCGCACTTGATATCGCCTACCCTGGCTGCTTAACGTAATTGCAGCAACTGAGTCTATGTGCAACGCTTAGTATAAAGCTGAGGGTCTCTCATACTATACGCGATGCCGCTTATCTTCGCTACCTACTGTAAACATCACTCCAATATGTATGCCGACCAGTATAAACAGGGACTCAGCTATGAGTGATAGCATAATCTGACAGCCTGTTATACTCACAACTGTACTCGAAGTCACCTAACTTGGCTATTCATCGTCATACTCATACTTACTCGATGCCGTTTATGTTTGCTACCTTCAGTAAACATCGCAACTGTATTTGACGTAACCTACGTGACTACCTATAGTAACTGCCAGGCCCGCACACATGCTCGTAGCTAACCATAATGCCCCGACAACACATAATAGACTAACCCAACGATCAACGGTGGTCATCGCCTGTCAAAATGCAATCACCACCCATTTTGATAGCGCGCTCCCAAATCCTACTCTTGATTGTACCCCCTCAACCACTCCCTCCATTACCCGAAACAATGAGCTGTCGTTCACCTCGGCTACTTAGCGTAACTGCTATTCGCGACGCAGATAATGGGGCCTCACCTATGCACGGCAACGTAATACAATCGCCAACGACGGCGCTCCATACTCATAACTCCACGCGTTGATGATGCGCCCGCCATGAATTTACGAAAACACCATTCGCGAATTGCATTTTATTCATTGGCATCACTGATACAAGCTTAATTGGTAGTCGCTCCCTTTTTCATGTTCTTAAGATCCACTTCACGGGACAAGGATTCTGAAACGGAAAATGGGCAAGCAATTAACCTTCTGGAACAGCACTTAAGCATCTGGATGTAATGGAATTTTATTTGTTTGCTTACCTAGTGGTTCATAATTCCCATTACCGTGATGAGGGATAAATGTATAGTCGTTGCGGATTGCCATGGGTTCATTGAATCGGCATTTGGGGCCTTCGAGTTACAATCACACGAATTCCTCGTCATCACGGGATTCGAAAGCGAGGTCTGCAAAGCGTATGCTAAAAAATTAGGCCTCAAATTACCGGTCTCCATCAACTCCGAAATTGGACAAAACAGTTTGATTGCGACTGTCTTACGGGGCACACTCGGCTTGTCCTCCATGGACCGATCAAGATCAACATCAAAGCAAGCTCTTTTAGCTGAACGGTAGGTAGACTGATCGGCAACTAATGGGAATAGCTTAATTTATACATGTGCACTCACTTGGTGGACGCGCCTGAAGATTTTCTCCACACAGCGGGCAGGGCTCATTGCCGCAGCAATAACGGTGATATGGAAGTCGATCACGTTGACACCACCAATCAGCAGGGTCAGTTGGCTGGCCACAGAGACCACAGGGAACAGCGTCGTTTGACGTCGAACGCCACCGTGGTTGTTTGCGGTTGCCATCTAACACCAGAGGCTGGTTGTCCTGTGCACTAATTGCATTTTGACGCAACATCAGCTGGCTTTGGACAATCAGACGCTTCATGCACCCAGCAGCCTTACGCGGATCCAGCAGCTTCAGTTTGCCAACCAACCGATCAAGCTGCTTGTGCAAATGCTCTATTGGTGATGGATCTGGCTTTGGAACCAGAGATAAAGGTACTCCTTCCTCCGGTAAGTTATATTCAGCAAGCCACCTTTGATGGATTGGAAATTGACCTAGACACTGCATGTTCGATCAATCAACTTACCGCATGGGAACGAGTGGCCTCTGAATACTGAAAATAGGTGTACACAAGGCAGCCACATTGATTGGTAAAATATGCACGTGCAGGTTCCGGCCGAGGTGTTTACTGTCTGAGAACATTTGGGGGTTTGTACCACAAACTGACTGTTACTAACAACGGGCTTCTCACCTTGAAGCGATCTGTCTGCTTGTATAGCAGATTTGGCGTGCATATTCCAATGTGCCTGAGAACCTGATTAGCGGCGTATGTCGTCATCCGGGAAACCACACGTAGAACGTAGATGTCTCCCTCCCGAATTTCTCGACGGTCACAACAATAAGTGGTGTGCATTTCATATTCCCGCATTAGCCATTCGCTGTGATGAGCGACCTTCAGAACGGCATGCTCTAGGCTATCTGAGTGATGCACGCGCCTCTTCAAACGCCCGTTGGCGTTCTCCAGGCGGTTGTTGGTCACATTCCCAAAATGTACCAACCCACGTTGTGCATGAATGGCCCACTTTCGAGTGATGTGGAGCCAGTGGGCAGTCAAATAAGAGACAAAACTGGGATCTGTTCGCCTCAAGATTTGCAAATCGTGGCGAAATCTACGGGATTAGTGTTTGGTGCACAGTCACTTACTCAGCTGCATTATCAAAGCGAGCCATGCGGTGGAATATGTGTCGACTGTGGTTGGAAATTGTCTGCAAAAGTTACACCAAAGCTATGAAACATACGTGCTTCCGGATGGCTTGCCGTGCGTGAAAATAGCACAGCATTACGTCGCAGCCAAATACAGCTTTGGCAGCCCGCATCTGTGAAGTCATTTTGTCCATGACGAACGTTTTGACTGCATATTGTCCACCCATCATATCCTTGAACAAGCTGAACAGCTTGCGCAATGGCGCAAAATGCTCGCTTTCGACAAAGGCATACATTACGGGTCGACCGATCCCCATGCCATCTGTCACAAGGAATGTATAAAGCTTGTAACTTAACAGCGAACGTCAGTGGCTCGAAATTTATTTACCCAAGACGGTTAGTACCGTGTGTAGCATCAACGTTTACAACGTCCGGGAAACGTCTAAAGAGTGCTATCTGCTGCGTTCGAGAAAAGCACAGGTGACTATATCTGCCACCCTCCGATTCCACCAGCAGCACGCGACCGCACTCTCGAAACTTGGCTATGATGGACGACATGTCATCTAAGAAACCAACTAAAAGGTAACCAACGACCAACTTAACAAGGGGGGTCGACACTTGACGCGATAGTTACGCACATCCTTGATAGTGAGTACCTTTCCAAAGTGGTCGGCGACGTACTGCCGAATCTCCGATGACGGAGCACCGTATTTCAAAAGGGTAGAACACTCCTTTAATTCATCATTTGTCAGTCGCCGGTTGATGGGGAGCCTGTCAAAAATAAACTTGCTGCGTGGATGGTTGTGCTCCAGGTAGTAGGAAGTAACCCTCAAGCAGTCATGGTACCGGCGAACGTGGAACCTTGCCGGACAATCAGTACGACGTGTGCTACAACGTATACACAGTCAACCATTAACTTACTAGGTGCGACGAATTCCACGGCTTCTGCTTCGTCTGCAGGGATGTCTGCTGCAACGGTAGGAGGCTTTTTCATACAAAAGTAGCGAATTGCTGCTCTTTTTGGAGTCTATACGGACGAAAACAACGAAATGTTTCGTCTGGTACTCTTTCAAAGCGACTTGAAATGCATTGAACGAGAAAAACCTTTGACCAGCTAAATTCTCCACAAAATCATCCTCCGCATTCACGTGCTCAGCCATAGCAGCCATTTAAAATATGAACATCCCGGGTCTTGAATATCGTGTGGATTGAGTAGATTTAAACATCTTTTAACAAAACGGTGGCCGTTTTGGAAGATCTCCTACCCCCGAAAAATTGCTATCAAATTTTGAAACTTTATGTTAAAGTTTTCCTCGTTCGAACCACGGTTCCAGAGAAATTTTCGGCGTGCGTCTAGCCCACGGCCCCAGCAACGCAGTGTTACCAAACCATTTCAAAATCGACGGCTACTTAGTCAGTTCCAAGTGACTGAACATGCCATTGTTCTCATTCTCTGTTGCTGTTGCTGATGATGCAGCACGTAGGATGACAGGCTGAGCGTGTTTGGATACTCGGTCTGTGATGTGCACCTGGACTGTCATTCGGGATCCAAGTATGTTCGTTGAGCTGAATGACGCATCGCTGCCCACTGGCTTCCGGCTGCGGATCTTTGTGGATTCGGTTGTGCGGAAGCCGAAATCATCCCAAGTAACCGAGTGGAAGGGTCCTTGTTTGACTTGACATCCCACTGGGCGGTTAGTCCGACAGTTTACCCGGGGGCAGGATGGCTCATTGGTCAGAGCGCGAATTTACTGACTGGAAGGTCCGTGGTTGAAACCCGACCTCTGTCTCTCGACTCTCACTATCTAGGCTTGGGCAACCTAACGGTATCCCAGCCCTTGTGCTCCCTTTGGGTGGCACGGCAACTAGACCCCGAAGCGGTGTTATAGCTGAGCCATTTTTTCACCTAGAGGAAGCTCACCGTCCGCTATCTCCGGAGAGATAACAGCTTAGCAGTATCAGTCTGAGCTAGCTTACCCATTTCTGACAATAAACCACCATTGTAATGGTAGCCAGTGCGAGCGCGAAGCATGGCGAAATGTGACAGGAGCTTTGTTAGCGGTGTCTGACTGGTGCTAGTAAATCCGTTCCGACAGAAATCGCGTGCGCCGGTGCACGCAAACCAGATAGTGGACAGCATGAGAGACCGAGAGCCTTGGTGGACATCGAAAGCTCAGGAGATAGAGGTTCTTACAACTGGAAACAGCCGTTCCCCCCCCCCACCGCATATTAAAACGATCAAGTGGCCAGAAGGAAGCAGAGGTCAGTGAAACGACTGGCGAATAAGACGGCTCATTAATTCACTTATAAAACCACCGGCTGGAAAGATGTGTCGAGGGGCATATCAGCCGGCCTTCCACAACACATCCCGTGGAAAAAGTGCGTGAGGGTGGATGGAACCTAAACCTCAGTGTCGCGTACGATATAGGTCTGCTGAAGCGTGAAAGGGCACAGGGGCAAGACGCTCTGTATCAATCTCGAGAGGTTCTTACAACTGGAAACTGCTGTTCCCCCCCCCCACCGCATATTAAAACGATCAAGTGGCCAGAAGGAAGCAGAGGTCAGTGAAACGATTGGCGAATAAGACGGCTCATTAATTCACTTATAAAACCACCGGCTGGAAAGATGTGTCGAGGGGCATATCAGCCGGCCTTCCACAACACATCCCGTGGAAAAAGTGCGTGAGGGTGGATGGAACCTAAACCTCAGTGTCGCGTACGATATAGGTCTGCTGAAGCGTGAAAGGGCACAGGGGCAAGACGCTCTGTATCAATCTCGCTTCAAACAAGAGGTGAACTTCTTTTACACACCTGACAAATATTATTGGCGCTGAATGGGCGGAAAGAAGAGCAAGTCGTTGGTTATTCCCATCTTCGGGGAGCGTAAGCGGACGCTAAGCGAAAGCCATCTGTGGCAGCTATAACCACTGTACAAGTACATGGCTATTGGGGCTGATTATTACTTCAGCGTGTTGCCTGCAAAGGATACAAGTTCTATCCATTCCTATTCGATTTAGCACATGAAAAGATTCGAGACACTGTTACCCAGTAAACACAGTGCCACCGCTGGCTAACGGTGGCCAAAGGTGGCTAGCTTTGCCACTGATTTGTTTGTGAATACAAGCCAAACAAAGCATTTGTTGCATAAAAGCCTTCTAAAAACGAATCTAACAGGATACTCTGGATACTGGAGCTCTATTTACAAAGTAATTTTTGCAACCGATTTGCTTGAATGCGCCACCGATTAAATATATCATGAAATTTTTGAGTTTCCACCTTTGGCCGCTTTTAGCCACCTGTGGCGCCATCGGTGTCAATTGTAACATGCCACCCCTACTTGCCACCTCTTGCCACCGGTGGTGGCGCTGTGACGTGTTTACTCGGTATGTCTTCAAAACTCTGTCGTTAAGATGGCTTCTGATAAAAGCCTTGTCGGTCCTTCACGTCTTCGAAGAGTACTTGAATGCACACGTGTCTTTAGATGAGTTGACCGAAATCTCCTGACATGCGCTTTGCACCCAAGGCAAAATAGGTCTATTTTTCTAGAAATGCTTCAGAAATGCAGTCACCGAAAACGCTCTCTCGTCATCACGTACGTCTCGCACTGCTTGGTCTATTTCCCCTGGAATATCGTCGCCTCCGAGGAGGCCTAATACTTACCTCTGCACTGCTTGAGCAAGATTTGGCCAACGGGTTTTTCGCCGTTGACCCAACTACCACACGGCGGGGACATGGTGAGTTAACTCACCATGCTTGAGAAATTTCTCAAGCTGAGTGCGCACCGTTATTAGGTAATTGTTTTTTTACATTTCAACTAGCTGGTGCGTAGAGTAACATTTTTGACGGTTGCTAACACTATATCTAGTACCAAATCAGATCGGAATCTAGTGATTTTAGACACCTTTTTAATTGAGTCCTCGAGTTAGCGAGATAACAGCCCCGGGCTGAGAACTTCAAGAGCAGTGCTACGCCCCTTTTCCCTCGTGCCTTTCAGGTGAAAAGAAGACGCTGGACGACACGAAACAATCCGATCTGGGAAGGTGTGACGAAAACCTCGATCCTGTGTATCATTCCGGAAATCCGTGACAGCAACACTAGAGGGGGGCAGTGATTCGACGCCGTGCCAACATCTGAATAAAGCCTTGTAGAACCTATGGCTAACCTACTACAAACATCCAAGATACATAAAACAACGACACTCGGACGATCTGGATTGAAAGCCACTGACACACCTCAGTCGCTATACGGTCCGATGGCTTCAGCCAGTTGCGCGGGGAGGTTCCGTGAATTCCAACCTACGGGACGAACAACCCCAACAACGCCCAAGCTCTTCGTTGCATTCTGTCATGTCATTTTTTCCACTTTTAGGTTTCCATCAATCCGAGTTACCGTCGGGAAATAGAGCTCGTCCCGACAGGCGGTACATCGGTCTAGCACGACGCTCAGTATTCGCANATGAAATGGATCTTCCAAAACTAGGATGTGCCCCCAATGGATTAAATGTGATGAACAATACTGATACGCTTTTTGCTCTATTCATTAATCTCTATTTTTACTATTCCATATGCTCTACATATACGCTAATCCGTATACATACGTACTACATGTTACGCTGATCTGAACCCTGGATTTCTAGCTCGTTTGGTGATACCGATATACGAGCGAAACTCAATTCTCACAGGTGAGCTGGACAATTGAGTTCAGGGTACCAGGCCAGACTTTTGAGCCCCATTTAGGCATCCTCGTGTCACGGCGGTGCTAGGAAATTATTTCGCCGCACATTTCCGTCAGGTGTAACCGTTCAGTATTCGCACAATGGAATTGGTTTCTCGAAACCCAGAGCATTTTAGGCTTGACATTTCACATTGCGGAATGTCTATGCATAATGTGCATGTTAATGCATTATTGCGGATTATCCACTGTGGTGATTTGTTTAAGTGAACGAATCATCAAGGTCAACGGATACCTCTGCAGCACGTTGCCTGATGTTGTCAGAAAACACGAATTGTGGGACACGTTGGCTTTGGGATAGTTTTACCGCTGAAATAATTCCATGAACATTTCAGAACCTACATGGCTTTCGGGGATGCAAAATGTGCCTAAGTGCAGTCCTGCAAACAACTTTCAGCTGATGATTGCACTTGCCAGTTAAAATTCCATAGTCCACACTGATTATTTGCAAATCGTCGTGCACGTTTGTCGGCAAAAAGCAGAGTTTTCTATTATAGATTGCCAATTATGCTAGGAAGACCTCGGTGTTGATCGATGTGCCACACGGAGCCTACGTCGGTCATAGCGGACAGCTGAACGAACCCAACTGACGCACACAACTAACATGCTGCTATAGATACACGATGCCCAATCAGCTAACCACATAGAACCTAGGTCGATCATAGCAGACACCTGCTACATTTGTAGTACATTGTGGCGTTTTGTACTTTTGTTTGCTTCCATTATAACACTACGTATTTCGCCATTTGCATAATCGACTTTTTTGTTTGAATACGAAAAACTACAAAAAACGCACGCTTTTACAATTTCACAGGATACAAGCAGGGTCAAGTGCTTCGACTCTTCTGATTTCGATCGCGCTTGCAGGGATCATTCGCGAGTCTCATGTACTAACTTTGGTGTCAAGACGGTTCAGACCTCCTTCGGCATCTATTATATGTGGGAACTATTCAGAAGACCCTTGGACAACCATAATTGGATTATCGTTTATTCGCTGATCGGGGCCAAAGACGAAATATTCTAAAGAGAACAATTGTTAGTGAGTCTGTCCCATCTGACCTCTTTATTACTGTATACCCAAACTAGCGTTATTATTTTTACTTCTTTGCCACACACTCCTGGTAAACTAACTCATTGGGTAGACAGACCACTACAACACCCATTCGTGACGCAAAACAGCGTTGGTGCTTCGGTTAGTGGATGAACGCACAAACACCACGTAGTTACCTTTGTGTATTAATTTAAGGCCTTCTCAGATGCCGTGAGGG